TTTAATCGAGTGGGAAAATCATAACTGGGACCGCTACCATTTTTTTTGGAAACGTTGATTTATATCGCAAATTGTTACCTAAAGTTGACATGAGCAAAACATATATCTTACTAAAAAAAGTCAAAATTATTGTTTCAAATTTGTAAAAAGAATATGGGTGCGTCGGTTCTCAGTTCAAAGCCTTCTTCATATAATATTTGTTTTTCTATTTCTTGGAGTTTTTAATTAGAGAAATTTGGAAAATTGGGTCATATTGAAAATGAATTTGTCTTAATATATTTAAAGTGTTTAGTTTTGTCTCATTATCCTATAATTAAAGTAAAATCCGTTCTTGTCCTCTAATTTAATAAAAATAAATGCAATTATTAAATTTGAAAATACATTTATATTATAAAGAAAATCTATTGTCTCATTTATGGAAAATATCTTTATTTTTTTTATTTTTTTGGTCAAATGGAAAATATCTTTATACTGTAAATAAATGATATTGAAAAATATATATCATCGAAACTATCGAAACTCTCTCTTTACCTATTCTTATATTTTCTTCAATCTTCTCCGTCGCCATCAAACCCGCCGTCCATTCCTCCTCACCGGCACTCAACTAGTCGATCCCTCCTCACCGGCTAAGGAACAGAGCCGTCGATTCAGGTAAGATTCTTCCTTCTCGAATTTTCTCGTGTTTCACCGGTTATCGGGTTTTGTTTTTCTTTGTTCTTTTTAACCAACTCATGTTGGAGTTTTGTTGGTTTTTCAATTTGCAATTGGGTATTTTGTTGGATGAATTCGAGAGCTATGTTTTCTATTAGTATTATGTTCATTACAACGGAAAAAATCTCATGAGTTCTCGATCCTCCTATTATTTGTATAACCTGGCTTATAATTCGTGTTTAGTGATGATCTTTAGTTTAGTTAGTGTCTACGTAGGATCCTTGAGCCTTTGATATTAGGAACAGTAAGAGAACCGTTAGATTACTGTGACAGCTTATATGTCGTGTATCATCTGAGTTTTAGAAGTAACTTATAGTTATTCTTATTGATTACTTGGCTTTACTGATTAGCTTGATGTCGTAGAATTTTAGACAAATCATTTTGTTATTGAGGAATTGCATTTTTGAGTTTCATGATGTTCATAATACTACTATTGTTTCGTAGCTAGTGTTTACTTTTTGTTTGCTATCTTCCACTGTTGAAATACATATTCACCATTGTAGAAGAGTAGTACTCTTTCATTTGGTTGTATTAATTTGAGAAAAAATGGTTGTGTATTTAGCGTATTGATCTGAGAAATTGGTTGTGTATTTGGAAATGAGAAACAAAAACTTCAACTTAGTGATAATGATATGCTCTCAGTTGTTGAATTGAAATGGTGCAACAACCATTTTTTTGAAGCTTCAAATGCACCATTTCAGGAAGAACATATACCTTATCAATGGTGATGATGATGAACAACCTGCTGAAGAAGATGATGAACTTGCTGGTTTAGAAGAGAACTTCGATGAGGATTGTGAAATCGAGCAAACTGATGATGATGATGATGATGATGAAGAAGTTAAACAGGGAAACCAAATGGCTAGAAAGCCAAACAAAAGAAGAAACCGTTTGGTAAAACCAGCCACATAAACAAAAGAAGAAATTAACCAAATGGTTTCTTCTTTTGTTTGGCTTTCTAGCCATTTGGTTTCCCGCT